AATTGGCCTGATCCTTTTCTCATATAGTCTGTATTGTAACTGTTTCTATACCCATACAATATTCCCAATGGTATGATACCTTGAAACAACACCTCTTGGCCTGGAACCTATGACAACTGGGTACCTCCCTAACTATTAGCTGTGAAAATGAATAATGAATGGAGAGATAAGTCAATTAAAAAAAATTCCCAACAGGAGCTATCTTAGAGGGAGTATGTTCTTAGAAACAAACTTCCTTCGGAAGGAGCTAAATGAAGAAAGAATTTAGTAACTGTGGTTGTAGCACAAACTGGAGGCTTTTAGCTTTCAGAAAAATGAAACAAAACAAAACAGAAAAGCAAAACGGGGACTGAAATGTAGAGATGACCTTGACCTTGATGGAACCCTCTGTATCATCGGCTAATCTGCTAATGGTTTTAATAGAATTACAAAACCATCATTTGCTGCTTCTGTTGCCTGTTTATGTCCCCAAACCTCTGTATGTTTCTCTAGATGATACTTCAAAGACAGTTGATTTCCCAGTTCCCTTTTTCTCTTACCACTATTACTATTTGGTGTGGGTGGGTGGGGTATGGTGTGCATATGCTATTGTAGAAGGGTGTGAAGTGTGCACGTGTGTGAAAATAGGTATGTACATGTGTATGCACAGAGGCCCAAGGAGCACATCAGGGGTCTTTCTCCTATTACTCTTCACCATGTTATTTATTTACTTATTTTATTTCAACATTAAGTTATTTTATATGTATGGATGTTTTGTTCGAATGTATATCTGTGAATTACTTGCATGCCTGGTACCCAAAGAGGCCAGAAAATGGTGTCAGATCCCTTGGAGCTGGAGTTACAGACGATGATGAGCTGCCATGTGGGGGTTGGAAATCGAATGCAACGCTTCTGAAAAGAGCAGCAGGCCGGTTCTGTTAACCTCTGAGCCATCTCCCCAGCCTCTCAAGCATTGTTTTCTTGACATAGGGTTCTGAAGCTCACGGATTTGGATTGGCAAACTGGCCAATGAGCTTCAGGGACTGGCCTGTCACTGTGCCTCCACTTTCTACCCCCAGGCTGGGTTTTCAAATGTGCACTACTGCAGTGGGTAGCTGTTCCAGCTTTGTCCTGGAAGTACTACCCCCATTGAGGCTTCTGGTAACTGTCACACCTACGAGGCGGGGCCGAGAGAGGAGCCCTTAAGACCCGAGATCTGGATGGGCCGGCTCTCTTGGTTCCTGGACCCTGGACACTGGAGGTAGATTGAGCAGAGTTCTCCAGAGAACACCGCCGGACTGCGCTACACCTTTCCTGGACCCTGTAACCTATCCCTTTACTTGTAAGATACCCCACAAAATAAACCTGCCTTTTAACTACATGGAGTTGCCTTAATACTTCCTCCAATACACTACTATGCTCAGCTTTCCCCAAGTTAATCTTTACAGTCTCATGTGTATGCTTCTCCTGCATATATGTGTGTGTACCGTGTGCATGCCTGGAACCAGAGGAGGCCAGAGAATGGCATTAGATCCCCTAGGACTGGAGTGTACAGATGGTGCTGAGCTACCATGTGGGTTCTGGAAACTGAATCCAGGTCCTCTGCAAGAGCAGCAAGTGTTTTTACCTGCTGAGACATCTCTCCAGCCCAATGGTCCAGCTCTTTACATGCATCCTGAGGGATCCAAACTCAAGTCCTCATGCTTGAGAGGCTGACACTTTATCGACTGAGCCATTTCCCTGGCCCCACACTGTCTGTGTCTTTACACAAACATTGTAGGCACTAATCCTACGACTGTGTGGTTTTAAACTGTAGCCTATTTGTCCTTTGCATTCCTTCTCAGCAGGCTTCCTGTGGAATTCAAGGTCAGACCAGCTCAGGTAAGTTCCAGCATGTGGCGGTGTAAGGGAGCTATATTTTAAATCACACTCCACGTCATCGTCGCACATTCCAGGGTAAACCAGATGGACCGTGAACTCCCATGGTGCCCTGTTTTCACGAAACTTTATTATTCACTTGATGGAACTGTGACAAAGCATGGGAATCCGAACACGTGGGGACCACAGAGGTTTGTTATTTTATTGTGCAGAAAGTCAGTGATAATCCACTAGAGAAGTATTCCCACAAGCAAGCCATCCAAGTACAATCACAGACAGCGATTCTACACGAGGAACAGAGGACCAAGTGAGAGGACGCGCGGAGGAACAGGGAGGAAGCCGGCGGCAGTTTATCGTCTTGATACGTTTCTCCTGCAAACATACCTAGCTTGCAGAAATGGCAGAAAAGTCAGATGTCCAGTCTTACTTAGCCGTGACCAACAACAGTAAAAAACAGTCTTATAAAATTTATCTCCCACAAAAATAAACTATATATATAAAAATTTTATGATGTTCTCACTGTTCCATTGGACACAAGCCTTTTTTTTTTTTTTCCTTTTTTCTTTTTTCAGTATGAAAAATGAGGTATACTGGGACGTAAGAGGTAGCAGTGTGTTTTGATTGTACAACATACAGGAAATAAAGAGTAACTTCATGAGAGATGGACATCGCTCGGTGTGCCGAGTCTGGCCAACATGAGAAACTGCTTCAGTTTTTATGAGCTGGCCAACGAGGTTTCTAAGAGGCCCATCTGAAGATATGGGATGGGGATTTGATCTTTATGAGCCACTGTTTATTGTTTATTTAATTCGCAGTTAATAATCACGTTGAGTTTAAAATCTCTCCATAGCTCCTTTGGTGACTCATGACAGTGAGCAATCTGCCAGTCTCAGAAAGGCATGCGGCCTTGGAAAGGACCTCCCTGACATGGCTGGGAGAGAGACGGCTTTGTCTGTCTGCTTGTTTGTTCCATTTGGCTTCAGTATTAAAAGTCACACGGACACAAAGCCATTATGGGAAACTACCTCCTGGCCCAGTGGATAACACCGTGAGGAAAGTCAGCGTACTCACTAGGAAGGAAAGGCACAAAAATTCTACACAAGAAGCGTTCAATCAATCTGCTTGAGACATTGTACAAAACTCACATTGTGTAACATACATGAAAATATCTGTCAAGCATTACTCTTACAGGCAACTAATCGTAAAACCCTATTTTATTTTCTGATTGCATTAGGCACAAGCTGAGCTGTTTGTAGCTCACCTACAAAGTTTCAAGTTTCTTTGAAGGCTGGCTTGATCTATTCACTCATTTTTGCAAAAGTACGTAAAAAAAAAAAAAGTGTTCTATCAAGTGTCTTTTTAAAAAACAATTCGTTTTGATGAGGGCTAGGTGAAGTTGGAACTATTTCAAACATCAGAGGAAGAAACTCAGAGAACGTTGCAGGCTACAGGTTCGTTCCTTTTGAAGTCTGGAGGTAGGTCCTTGCAAGTCAATTAGTCTGTTTCTATCAACAACTTCCTTTGAGGTACAGACTTGGACAGTAATATTTGAACACTACAGACAAATTGCATGTGTACCTGCATGTGTGTGTGTGTGTGTGTGTGTGTGTGTGTGTGTGTGTGTGTGTGTGTGTGATACTATGTAGTGTCACTGAAGAAAATTATCCTTAAGAACCTAGGAGCGACTTGCTTAAAAAAAAAAAAAACTGTTTCAAATTAATGTAGCATTCTAGCAGGGAAGCTGCGATAAGCACTTGTAAAATTTTAATTGAAAAAAAAAATCACAGAAACATGCATAGCCACGCTGAGACAGAGTAAGGGCGCGTCTTTGACAAGGATGACAGAGAACTGTGGATGACGGCATTGCCTGCCCAGTAAGTTTTCCTCTCTTGCCGTGCTCTTGTCTAGCAGCGTGTAACAAGTGCAGGACTGTAAATTCACGGTAGCATTCAGAGGTAGTATTGAGTAGTGGGGATTAGTGCATGTCTGGCTAAAAGTGCAGCTTGAATGCAGAGACGGCTGACCGAACCAAGATAATGCACCTCGGCCGCCGACCATCTTATGTCAAAACAAAATGTATTACCTGAAGTAATACACAGGCTTCATTTGAGGTAAGTGGCACTGCGGTCTTTCACGGAAACTGGTATACAATGAAGAACGAGAGAAGAGAGAGAGAGAGGAGAGAGAGGGGCTGGGGAGCGGGGAGGAAAAGGTGGAGAGTGGGCGAGAGCTTTTTTTTTTTTTTTTTTTTTTTTTTGCTTTTCAAAAAAAAATATTGTCCTTTAACTATACAGCAAAAGAAATTTATATTTTGCTCCTCCCACCTCCTCCTCATTTGGGTGAGTTCATCAGGTATTGTACCTTTTCATTAAATTCCAAAAAAGGATAATTTCACTTGTCTAGGATGCTTCGAGGCTGACAAGTGTCACTTATTGCTAAGTAGCTTTCGACTGTGTAGGTCTCCCCAAGAGGGAACGGATGCTTGTGGGTGTATCTCTCCTGCTGATATGTGTGAGCCCATAAACACAGGAGTCAACATCTATTATTTGCTTACTTCCCTTTTTGAAAAATGAGCATAGCCTATCCCGGTTTGCTAGCTGAATGAAAAGATACACCAGCATTTTGTCTCATTTAGAATTAAAAAGAAAAAAAAAAAGTCAAGTAAGTGTCTACAAGATTATACGCAAAGGAGAGTAGTATCTACTTATCTTTGGTGTCCTAAGCAGAAGACTCACTATGATTGGGGTAGGGTGGCATCTGAGGGGACCCGCACAGAGTCACATACAATGCTTGTCTTATACGAATGCCCCTGGTCACTAGAGTGACCTGTTAGGGTTTGAATGTAGTGACTGATTAAGCCCAACACAGAGTTTTCCTCAGCCACCCACCCGTGCTTATCAGATAAACACACTATTAGTAGGTTAAGGAAAAAGAAAAGAGTCATTAAAAGTTGCATTGTTAAACTGTGTCCCCCGTGTTTACAGCAGTTTGTTTTTTTTTTTTTTTTCACTAAACCTGGGACTGTGAAGGGATTACAAAGAAAGTGATTAATATAGTCCTTCTCAAGGTTATGTGATTTCTCCCGCCCCGCCCCCGCCCCCTCGCCCGCCCCGCCCCTGCCCCACCCCGCAGAAAGTGGAAAGACCGTGGCAGTAGAGAGTAAGTGGTCACTGCGATGTCTTCTCCCTTCGAAAGATCCAACTGATGCTGAGGTAGAAATCAAATGCCGGTGCCCCCTAATCCTCCTCGGCCGACTCTTGCGAGGATGTCTCTTCAGTCTCCTCCTGCAACACAAGAGGGCAGGTGGGTTAGGCCTTGTTCTGGGCGCACGCTCTGCTCTTCCTGTGCGCCATCCTTCAGGGGCACAGAGCTGGTTGCCTCCACCATGCAAAAGCTGAGCTTGCTCAACTAGAGGATGGCTGTGACACTCCCCGCCCTCATTTCCCAAGCTCCTGACCCCGCGTCATTGAGGACTCAAAGGGTTGTCTTTTCCCAGGGCTGCCTTTAGTCACTGTTGGCTTAAGGCATCAAGGTTGCTGGTCAGCAAATTCAATTGTTTGCCCTCCGGAGAATGTGGATGTGGGATCCCCGGAAGCTTTACTCACTAAAAAAGAAGAGATTTTTTTTTTTTCCGACAGCATGCCAGTCATTGGTTTTTTAAAAACTGGCACAACTAGTCTTAAGAACAATGTTAAGGAATGTGAACCCATCCGCCAGGTACCTGGAACGGTGTGGTAGCTGGTGCTGTTTTGATATTTGCAAGATTTGTTGTCATAGATGGGAAAGCCCAGGATGTAGACGTGGGACCATACCCAAGTTTCCACAGCAAGCGGGGGCAGGTTTGGGTCAAAACTACTGTTTGGGGACTGGTGTAGGACTCCTCTGCAGAGTCAGTGGGAGGGCAAGAGCAGACCCACCCGGAGTGTGTGGCGGCATCTGAGAGCCGTTTCCTCATTCTTACATTTATTAAAGCACGTTTTGAGACAAGGAGCAAAGCTTGACATAACTGCTCAATCTCAATACTAAATCCGTCAACATCAGGCAAACATTTAATGGTGTGCCAGCCAAGCAGAGAAAACCTAATATATATGTTTTTTTTTTTTTTTTTTTTCCAGGACCTCTTCATATAAATCCAATTCCTCCTCCTTGTGGCTCTGGAATTTGTTGGGGGTTCTGCAAGCCGGTGTGAGCTACAAAGTCCTTTTAACGTTTGCTTATTTAAGAAACCTGCAACACCTTTCAGGACATGGGTGGTAAAGCGGAGACAATAAACAGTTCCGATAAAAAGTGTCATTTCGAGGGAGGTTGATTTTTATCAAATGCTGCTGGCCGGCTCCAAAGACAGCATGTGAAAGAGATCCGGGAAGAGAGGTAAACATTTACTCCCGGCAGCCAAGGGAGCCCCATTTAAGAATGGCCAGCTTATAACAAGCTTATACAGCCTTCATGCTTTAATAGATTTGGTTTTCCACACGGCTTCATTTTGTCTGGGTGGCTAACTGACAGAATTTATACCTCTCTTCCTTCACCAGGTCACTACAGAATACCACTCAGTGGGGCATGCCTTCCAGCTTGTCTGTACTACGCGGCGACCAAACTTCCATTCATTAGTGTCTGAAACACTTCAGCTGTGAAGGGGCTCCTAAATGTTACCATGTGTGACGCTTCTTCTTCGCAAATGGAAGGGGAGAAGACTGCACAACTCGCTCGCTGCTCATGCCCTCCCGTGAATGTGCACACACACATGCACATGACCATGGAATCTTTATCCTGTTTTTTTTTGTTTGTTTGTTTCCACAGACCACCGCTTCTTGTAAGTCAAAAAAGGATTCAAACATTCCCTTTCCCCCCAAAGACCGAAGGAGTTGTAAATCCAGGGAATAAACAACGCATACAAACGAATGGATTACAGCTTAAAACAGAGAATCATGGCAGGCAGCATCCAGTCACGGGAGTTCACACCGGTTTTGTTTAGTCTGCTTTTGGTTTTGTGGGAAATGTGGAACGCATGGAGCTACCTCCCTTCTCCTCCCAGGCCGCCCAACTGCGGGCTTCACGTCTTGACGAGGCAACAGGCCATGACCCCGAGATTCTCTGTGGAGTCCTGGTTAGAAAGGAGGATGTAGCAGGATCAAAGCCAGGGGCAGACGGCATATAGAGGCAAGCCCGGGATCAGCTGCCCCGTGACCCTGTGTTTTCACTTAATAGTTAAATTCCAGAAAGTCACTAAACTGTTTGGCAGATACCTTCTTTGTCCTCTCCAGAGGACTCACTTCTCATAACACGAGGTGTGGGCTCATTTTAGGTTGCTCCCTTGGAGCAGGTGGGCATGTTTTCCTCCATCCTCTCCCAGGGAGCAGATTTACAGGATGAAGTCAGGCTGGAACCCCCCACCGCCCTGGACTGAGCTATGGCTATTCTATTTCTATCAGCTCGATATTCTTTTATCTGTTCACCCGAGGATCGGGAATGAAATAGGATTTCTCAGGCCTCGAACTTGCCGAGACCTTCCACTAAATGGAATGTGATCAGCTTTATAGAATGTTCCCAGGAGCCTTGTTTGATGGGAGCTCCTGCAAATCCTGATAGTCAAACCCCTTAGACACAACTCAGCCCCAAAGGATGGCCCCTTGTTTCTCTTTACTTAACATTTCTTGACACAACATGGGGAGTAGGAGTCGTTTTATTTATGTGTCTTTCCTCTGACCTTGAAATTCTTTGGCTGGTAACTATCAATTAGGACTGGGAACCTAATGAGGAGGTCAGGGTGGGAAGTCCCGCTCCTCCGCTACATGTGGGGTGGCAATGTGGCTCTCCCATGTTCAGCATGGTGGGCTTCTCAAAGGCTTAGGGGAGAGCGTCTTTCCTGGCACAGCCTCGGTGGCGGCGGGCCTCCCTCCAAAACAAGGCCAAGGTGTCAAGAGGTTGACACTGGCAGCGTGGGTGGTACTTCCCAACTCTACCAGCCTCTGTTCTCATCTCTCTAGAGGCCTGGCCTTTTGCTCTCTATGCGGCTGCCCTCCTGTCAGGTGCAAAGATACCTCTGGAAAACTGACTCGAGTCCTACACTCACTAAACTGCACCCAGGGACCCCGTGCCATGCAGAGAACAGAAAAAAAAAGAGGTTATTTTGGGATAAGCAGCCATCTCTGATGTCCCCAAAGGAAGGCGATCACCACCAACCACAAAGAAAATTCCCATCAACCTCCAGGCTCAGTCCTCTTTAGTGGACTGTGGACCACAGCTTGTAACCCCCAGATGTGTATCTTAAAGATGGGCTTCACACTTGCAACACATTGCCCGAGGAACTGCGAGGGATTTAACTCGCCACGGCAGCCTTAAAGTACTAAAGAGATAGAAATACTGAGTTGCACACAGCCTATTAGGGGCTGGCTGGTGAGTGGGGAAACCAAACAGTAGCACTCTGGTCAGAGAAGGATTACCTGTTCAGAATGGGGCTTCGGGAATGTTATGCTCAAAGGACTTCAGAGTAGAATCGTACAGTGACATTTTGATGGGCAACCCTCACTACCTCCCTCGAACACTGAACACATCCCTGCTATTCACACAGCTACTTAGGAAGACAACCAAGGATACACCAAGCTGGGTGAAATGTGTTTCCAGCAGAAAATTGATGGTAGGGAGGAAGGGGGTGGGTAGAGTTAGAGAATTACGTATTTGTTATACCTCTCAGAAAATGGCACTCATTTTTGCCTTGGTTTTTCTTTTGTTCCTGCGGAACTCTGGCATTGCTTTGAAAGCTTTGCAGATAAAATCCCTAGGACATAGTCTGCATCTATTGTTCCATCAAGTTGGTTCAACATCATGGTCGTGTCTTTGGGTATACTTTAAGTGATTACAAAAGCAGGAAGGAGGTTAGCCTGGTACCCAGCATTAATTCTTGGTGGTTAGCGGTATAGGCAAGGATGTGAACTACAAGGAGTTTAGTTAAGAATAGAACCTGGGGCTTAATTTTTGGAGGAAGAGTAAATAGCAGGTCTGTAGTGGAGGAGAGCTTCTGGCAAAGTTGGTGGCAGGTGACATCATGGTGCTTTGTGATATTTGTGGTAAGGAGGGCAAAAATCACAGTTCACACAGGTTCTTATAAACCTTTGTGTGTTTTTTGTTTTAATTGCAAAGAATTCTGCCAGGGTTTCATCACCCGATGCTACAGATCAGAATTGCTTCTGTGAGCCAAGCTCTGTCACCAGCCAGCCCACAGAGGGCTGAAGGGCCGCTACAGTGAAATGACATTCTCAGACACACTGTTGGGATTCACACATATTTGAGGCCTGTCTTCTCAGAAGAGAGGTAAAGGGTTCTCCTCCTGAGCCTCAAGGAGCAGGCACCGATCTTGTCACTTTTATCTGAAGGATCTACAAGACTGTAAATTCAAGTTTTTCTACCATTTTTTTCCTTCTTCTGCCCTATAGTTGGAATCAAAAAATGGACTGGGATTGTGTGACTTCATGAAAAGTGATTGTTCCCTCCAACTCGGAATATTTGGCAGCAGATTTTCAAAAACCATGTGAAGTGCAATATAACCCACGTAACCTGGTGAACGCAACATAACCCATGTAACCTGGTGAGTGCAACATAATCCATGTAACCTGGTGAGTGAAGTGGCAGGAATATGTCCTTCAAAATGGAGATTTGGCAAAGCTGAGCTGTTTATAGCAAGACACGGCTCTTTGTTAGCGCTACATATATTCAATAATATATAACTATTAGGGCCACTCGTGTGTGCCACCTTCCACTCAATGAAGTTGCTTCTGAGGTCTTACATGGGCATGTTTCATATAAAGAAGGCTGTTTTTGTTGTTGTTGTTTTGTTTTGTTTGAGACAGGGTTTCTCTGTGTTGTTTTGGTGCCTGTCCTGGATCTCGCTTTGTAGACCATCTGGCCTCGAACTCACAGAGATCCGCCTGCCTCTGCCTCCCGAGTGCTGGGATTAAAGGCGTGCGCCACCACCGCTTGGCCAAGACGGCTGATCTTAGATGTCACTGACCACAGACACCAACCATGATGGCACTAGGAGGTCAAGTAACCAGTGTCTTATTTTCATTGTGGGAGACCAGGAAGGCCAATACCCATCTTGTGGCACTGTATGGTTCTCTGACAAAAGTGTGCCGAGCATATGGGTAAACACCCTGCTGGGGTGGAGAATGTTGATTATTAACCCAGTCACCTATTCTGTGTTTGTTTCTATATGTGTTATTGAATAATAAGAGTATTGAAAAGAAAGAAAAAAATGTTGTTAAATAATTCGCCATCAAGAAAAGAA